ACGATTAAGGTTTGTTTTGACAACATTTGGTTCTGATACCAATTGTAAGTCTCAAATCTGCTTGTTTATCAATCAGATCCGTTTGATGGTGCGGAATCCGGATGATGCCATATCAAAATAGAAGAGAAGAAGAATAATAATATGACTCTTGAATGTATTGATGATATGAATAAAGTTCCTTACACAAGATTCACTTTCTCTCTCTAACACACCTTAGAATTCACATACTTAAGCTCCTTTCTCTCTCTCTCTTGGCCGTAAACTCTCACTGTTCATCAATCCCTCCTCAACCACCTAACACACACACACACAAATATATATATATATATATACTTGGGGAATATGGGCCATAAATGGATTTACAGTCGTAAACACAACCGTAAACATACATACAACCGTAAACACCAAGTTGTTTACGGTCCTAGACTGAAAAATATATTTTCCTAGAAAAGTAAAGTATCAACCATATTTTTTGACCCAACAAGTGGCGGAGCCTTGTATCTCATGGACCCGATCTGGACACCGAAACATGGTGGCTTGAGAGACTTGGTCATAACCGAAGCACACAACACTAGATATTCCGTCTATCCAGGTTCATATAAGATGTATCTAGATCTTAAAAAGTTATATTGGTAGCCTAACATGAAAGCAGAAATTGCTACCTTCGTGATTAAATGCCTTACTTGCGCAAAGGTTAAGGTCGAATACCATAAACCATCAGGTTTCCTTTAGCAACCGGAACATACCGGAATGGAAGTGGGAGCGGATCACTATGGACTTCATTACCAAGTTGCCCAAGACAACGGGTGGACTCACTACTATTTGGGTGATCATTGATAGGCTAACCAAGTCTGCATACTTGCTTCCCATCAAAGAAACTAACAAGAGGGAAAAGCTCACAAGAACATACATTAGGGAGATCGTACTATATCTATTATCTCCGATAGAGATAGTAGATTCGCTTCGAGGTTCTGGCAGTCGCTACAAAGTTCCCTTGAACGAGGTTGGACATGAATACAGCCTATCATCCACAGACCGACGGACAAAGTGAGAGAACTATCCAAATCTTGGAAGATATTTTGCGAGCCTATGTGATTAACTTTGGGAAGGTATGGGATACTAATTTACCCCTTGTCGAGTTTTCCTACAACAATAGTTATCACACCAGCATCAAGGCTGCTCCATTCGAAGCCCTCTATGGCTGGAAGTACATATCCCCTCTGTGTTGGGTTGAGGTGGGTGACACACAGTTAGCAAGGACGAGTTCCTGACAGCACTCTCACATGTCTGAAGATCATTCAGGAAACGACAGAGAAGATCATTCAGATTCGTGAACGATTTAAAGCCTCTAGAGACTGACAGAAAAGCTACACAAACAAACGAAGGAAACCTTTGGAATTCTAGTTGGGATACCGCATTCTTTTGAAAGTCTTACCCTGGAAGGGCTTGATACGCTTCGGAAAGCATAGGAAGCTCAATCCAAGATACATAGGGCCTTTCGAGATTCTAGGTAGAATCGGCCCTATAGAGATCATGGACTTAATAACATACATTCTAATTTCCACGTCTCGAACTTGAAAAAGTGTCTATACGACGAGGCTCTTGTAATACCACTTGACGATATCAATATCAACGATAGCCTCAACTTCATGGAAGAACCTGTAGAGATCATGGACCGAGGGGTCAAGCAAACAAAGCAAAGTCGTATCCCGATAGTGAAGGTTCGCTGGAATGCCAAGCGAGGACCTGAATTCACTTGGGAGCGCGAGGATCAAATGAAATTTAAATATCCTCATCTTTTTGCTTAGTTATTTGTAACTACTTACTTACTTAAACTCTAATTTCAGGATGAACTTCTCTCTAACAGGGGGATGATGTGACAACCTGAAATTTACTTCTTGTACAAACCATTCAAATTAATCAAGTTCATACTCGTTTTTTCTATCTTCTAGCATTGTTTATAGTCAATTAGAGTGTTTTAAGCCTTGTATCTTCAAAGTTAGGGTTTAGAAAAGAGTCCCACAAGTTCAACACTTCAAAAATCGGCTAAACACTCCAAATTAAGGAGTGTACGACCGTACACATGGAGTGTACGACCGTACACCCCCATTCGGCCATACACTCTCATGTATAAATGAGAGTGTTAGCCTCCTTTCACTTCTTTTCATACTCTTAAGCGGAAAATCAACTTCTCTCTCAAGTATCATCCATTTTTGTTTCTAGATCTTCAAGTTGTAAGTGTTTCTTCCTTCAATTTGATGATTCATTACACTATCTAGTAAGGGTCTATCATTTCATCCATGAAATTGCTCATTTTGTTTAGATCGTTAAGTGTTCACCAAGAACACCAAGAACACAAGTACATCTACTAAGTTTTTGGACCTCAAAAAACCCTAAAGGCTTTTCAATTGTAAGTACCACCCCTTATGCTTGTAACTTACTGACTTTACTCCTTAGAAAATGTCCAAAATATGATCAATAAGGGGTGTACGGCCGTACACACCCCATGTGACCGTACACCCCTTTATTAAGTGCAAAATGGCCTTAAAACTCGTGTTCTATGCTAGCACTTGATCAAGAACACTTAGGGGATGCAAGATAGAGACTTGGAATTCAATTTTGACCATGTTTACTTGATTATCAAGGTTGTATGGCCATACACTCCTTTTATGGAGCCACACACCCTTTTTAGGGTCCAAAATGGCATTTAACTTTCAATAAGGTTAAGTATTGGTCAAGACACACTCCATAGATGCTTAAGAGGACTTTGAATCACTAAATGGAATGTCTCACCATGATTATACGGTCGTACAATCACTTGGGCCATACACTCTGGTCGTACACACATATGAAACACAACCTCTTGGCCATAAACACTAATGTGTGGCCATACACCCATTATATGCAACCCTTAGTACTTCTAGCACTTGAATCTAAGTGTTTTCTACGACCTAAGGTGTCTTTCCTTGCATAATTAGTTGTTTAAACACTAATTATATACATATATATATATATATATATATATATATATATATATATATATATATATATATCATTATATGATAAATAGGATCCGTGTGTGTGCTCATGTCTTCACTTTGCACTTAGCATCCTATACCACTCGTTCATCCATACCACTCACTGTAGGTGAGTTCATACCCCTTAATCTACCTTTTAAATGATTTTAAATGCTTTTATGGGGGGAATACAAGTTGAAACATTCTAGTTATTATATCAATCACATGTGATTAATAACTAGAACAAACTGATAGATTTTCTATTACTTTCAAACGGTTATCAATCTTATGGATTTCAAATGCTTCAAAATGTTTATCAAACTCTTTTACATACTAAACTCTTTATCAAACTTGTTTTTATATGCCAAAACTTTCTCTTAACTCTCTTTTAAACTTATATATTGTTAAAACCATGTCTAATGCATATATAGTTATATAAGTAAGGTTGGAAGGACTTAGGACTGATAACTCACTTTATTTCATGTTCCTTGTTTGGTTGTGGACTTAGAGTACCCTATTGTTTGTCCGAATGTCGTTTGATCCTTAGTTATATATCATGTATATATGTATAGACATAAAAGCTTTTATCTCAGTTCAACACGCTCAGTCATACAAACAACTCTACAAGTAAACTATAATAGGTATAGTTTAGGAAGTCACTACTCACTATTTCTAGTACAATGAAACATACAAAATGTCAGTTCATACATGAGTCAATGCATACTATAACGAGAAACAATACTCACTATAAAAGACAAACAGATAGGGAATACTATAACAAGAAACAATACATACTATCACTACTAGAAAACAGCCCTTTAATGGCGCGCAAACAATGACACGCAGTAATTTACGATACGCAAAAGCGTGCGCCCTAAAAATAACGTCATCTCTTCTTAAATTTTAAGGATAGAGGATACGCATTTATGCGTGCCCTGAAATTAGTGTCAGAAAAGAAAAAAAAGAAATAAGGAGGGCACCTATCATAAAATGCGTTTCGTGTAAAGGTGTCGTTTTATATTTTTTTAAGAAGGCGCGTTCTTGTTTTTTTTTTTTTGAGAAATGAAATCCCAAAAAAATTAAATACCCAGCCTGATACTCCTTCTTCTCCTTCTAAAATCCCGCCTACTAAAATCCTTATTCTCCTTCTAAAAGCCTCTGCTAAGAACCCTAAATCATTCATAAGCATTTTCCAATCAAAAAAAAATTAAACATCCCGCCTACTACGACTCCCCAAATCACCCTAAATCATAAATCCCTAAATATTAAGAACCCTAATTTGTTCTTGAGAAACGGTGCCTTAGATCAAAAACTGTGAATTCGAATTTGAATTAATTCAGGTTCTCTCAATCAAGAACCTCCCCATTTTATAACTTAGAAAAAACATCAATGCACGCATATTGCACCTGCGTTGGAGTCAGCCATTTGTTATCCCATATGGTCATCGTCACAAACTCGCGCTTTATCAACTTCTTCCGCAAGATCTTTCTAAAAAATTCAATCAATCCTAACCTTTCTCTCAATCAAGAATCCCTAAACTTTCTCTCTATTCACGAGACAATAATCGCGGCAAAGATGATCAACAACAAAGACCAACTTGTTCGATTTCTCCCTAAAACTGGTACAACTTCTCCTAAATCCGACTTCACTCCACTCATTGAGTTTGTTTTTTTCTAATCAATGCATCCACCAAGTTTGAATTCGATACGTTTTCGTCTCTTAAAACACACATCATCAACAAATTCCAAGAACAATTCATTAACAATGGTGGTCCTGGCGAAGGCATCCTCAACTAACTTCAAGGAGTGAGTGTTTTTTTTCTATGTCGACCAAATTGGGCGTATTTTTTCTAGTATAGATCTAGTTTTACGGGGTTTTGATTTCATTGTTGTGATGTTTATTTGGATCTATTATTCTGAAATTCGTACCCTTTGTTTACTGTTTTGGTGGTTCTGGTATTTTGGTTAGTTATGGAAGTTGAAGATGATGCAAGCTGGGGCTATAGTGGGACCGATTGACAGATCTGTACTTGCCAAGTCGATGGCACCTAGGGCTACATTGAACGATGTTCATGATCTTAATGTTCCATATGAAGGGCCGGAAGAGTATGAAACTTACAATGCTAATTTACTTTTCCCTCTGGTAAGTATCTTTTAGCTCATAACTTATGCGAACAATATACCTACATGTACTGGATGCTTGGACTTTTTCATAAGTGGATACATTGTTCATGCTAATTCATTGCTCTTAGAAAATTGCAGCATATAGAAGTTAGAACTTTGTTGCTTTCAGATTCACCTAGGGTAGATGAGTATATAAAGAATCTCCGAATGAGTATACATTTCCTAGTCATAATTGGGTATCCTAGTTATACGAAAGAGAACAGCTTTGTTGAGAGTAAAGAAGTAAAATGGGTTATGCATCCGAAATTCAGGGGTCAACCAAGTGTATTTATCATGAAATATTGGGCTGTCTTTATTTCATTTATTGTATATACTTTCATGTTTTGTTTCCTCAAGTGTGTTGTTATCTGCAGACACCATTTCAGACTCCAATGCAAACACCTTTGCCTATTCAAACACCATTACCATGAACAGCTCTAACATGTTTACCAGGGACCATGGACAATCACAATATACCTACAAGAGGTACCCCCATTACCCCAAGTGATTATCCTTCTATAAACAAGAATGGAGTTTCAGATGGAAAATCTGGGATGCCTAACACATACATGGCAACTGCATCTTTCTTATCCTCTTCATTGTTTTGTGTAGAATCATTCCATTATTATATTACATTGGTATCTTCATTTTCATTTGAGAAAATTATATGGGTACTCTACATGCCCCCATTCAAAACAAAAAATTATCGGATGTAATTTCTTTTGTGATTGAAGTTGTAGAGGTTATACATTAAAGTTTTATTTTCTGTATAGCAACCACCATCTCCTTGGTTAAACCAAAGGCACCCTATTGGTGTGAATGTTGGTAATGTCTCTCACTCACTCACACACACACACACACACACACACACTCTCTCTCTCTCTCTCTCAATGGTGATATTAAACATGTATAAATATTTAAACGTATCCATGTATCATCAGTTGAAGTACCACGACAGTGGAAAATAGAAGGAAGTTTTACCTCAAATGGGACAATGGAACATGAAAGATAAGGTAATCCATTACCTATATATTAATTACTTGTCATTTTAAATTGTTTATAATATAATTAGTATTATACTATTTTCATGACACATAAAGTTATAAATGGAAGTGTTGTTAATTATTGGGCTCGTATCAACTTCTCAAGAACTGTTCCAAATAGTATTGCTCAAAGTTTTTGTCATCAGTTGGTCCAAATGTGCCAAGAATCCGGCATGGTATGTATATAATCAAATCAAATATTATCTTTCATAAATTACATATTTAAATTATATACAAAATTTTGGAAATTTTAGGAATTTAAAAGTGATTCGTGGTTCCAATTTACTCTGCAAGACCAGATTAGGTCAAGAAGGATTTAAAGCACGTGTATACAGCCACTGTAAGGCTTTAAAGCACATGTATACATCCACTTTGTAGCTCTTTCCATAAACATATTATGAAAATGGTTTCTCAGTGTTTCTTTCATGGATGCAGTTTCTTTGAAATTGATCTAGGCCATTTGAAAGTGACCAATAAAGTTAATTGGCATGGACCTGCGGAAGATCAAGCATCTGTTCATCGTGAATTTGGGTGAACAACCTAAGCTCCCTCCTCCTTTTCGTGACATAAACTCTGACAACTCTGATACAATACGCCTCCTAGATATAAAGTCAACATGACCAGTCAAGTTTTCTTGTCACGTTCAGTCAACATAATGGTAGTTCAGATGGATCATGCACTTCTATAGTTGTGTAATGGCATTCAAGAGGATACACCTTTAGCACACATCACTGTAAGTAAATCAAAACATGAGACGTCGTGTCCCTTTGTATATGTTTTCTGAAATCTTGGTTATTTATTTTTTCTTCAGCTGGAGGGTATTGATGGATCTCAAAATGAGGGCGTCATCTCAACTGCTTGTGGTTCGGACTCATCTCCCTCAAGCTCTTGTTGTTCCAGATTTCCTTCTTGCAGTTGGTGAGTTCTTTTGTCCCATCTTTGGGAGCCATAACTGGAAAAGAGGAAGTCATGGATCCTAAAAATGACCCACTCAGTAAAAACAACCCACTCAGTAGGGTCTTATACTCTTGATGATGCCAAAGAGTACAAACCTGTGGTTTTACCGTCAACTTCAAAGTTAAATTTGTAATTTATACAAAAATGTCTACATGGGGTAAATCCGTAGTATCCTTGTTTGGACAATTGAACCAACTTTCCTTAAAACTAGCTTTAAATTTCATTATCGTTATTAACTTATTTCATGTTAATCCTCACTATTTAATATTGTTAACGTATTTTGTTTCCAGCTAATCATCGATTACAATTTATGAAAATAATCCCTTTCCTTGATCAATTGATGAATGAATTCAATGAAGGGAGAATAAGAAATAGGAAGTAGATTTTGGTTGAGACTCTTTTTTTAAATACATTGTGGTGACAAATGGTGAACATATCTTGGGACTTGGAGATCTTGTATGTCAGGCAACATAATCTTTACTCAAATCGTCTTCTTTTTCCTGCTCTTTTCTAAATTACATCAAGATGAAACTCAGTGAAAATCCCAAACCCTTCCCCAAATTCGCTTACAAGTATTCTTCTTTTGTCTGTTCTTCTAAAAAGGAAGCTTTAAATACGTTATATGTATTTGTACTTGGTTGTAAATCGTATCTTTTTTATATACATGCTATATAATCAAATCCAAAATGTGAGTTCTAATTTTTTTGTTTGAATGAAAGAATAGTAAATGGAAACATCACATAGGGATGGATAAAATGACTTAATGCTTGAAAATTATCCCAAAGTTTTGGAATATGGTTATAAAAGTAGCATGATTTTGATGGCATAGACAGCTTGGTCAAGTACTATCTCCAAACTTTTGAAAAGAAAATCTATATATTTCTTTCTCTTCTTCCATGTCATAATCTCATAATTGAAAAAAAAAGCATATGTGTCTACTTTCCCACAAAGAAATGCTACTTATTGTATTATATAAATTGTATCTTGACTGTAGAAAGTTTGTACAAACCCAAATCCTGGTATTCTTGCAAAAACATTGTGAACCTCAGGTTCCACAAGAACATTCATGTTCTCTTGCTTTAATTGAGCTAAATACAAGAAATAGCTATGTATTTTCATTTTCATGTATTGGTTTATTATATTTAAAAGTTAAAAAATAATAATATAATATAATATCCCCTGATGCCAGGCTCACACTGTGCTGCAAATGAACTACATTGAAAACAACTGTTGTGTCTAAAAGGTAAAGATCTGGTCTTGCAGGGACAAAATCAAGTGCACCACTAAGATTACTATCTCTGGTACAAAGATGTTGGGATGATGACATGCACAATAGGTCTTCATTTGATGATATCATCTCCAAACTTGATCTCAACATGGTTTTGCCCTGTTGCCTGTAACAGGTATCTAAAAGATTATCATGTTCTTATGTATTTGCCTCGTAATTTGTGTTTGGTTATAAAATTACACAAATTACCATTTTATCCCTACAAGATATGCTTTTATTTACTTCCTAATTGGATGCGATACTTTTTGTAGGGTTGGAAGGAACAGGAACTGGCCTTGTTGTACATGAGAAAGCTAAGGAAGAGCATGTTGAATCTGATCGCGAGGATGTATTACAATCGCCTGGTTCAATGATCGGATTTTGAGCTGCTACTTAGGAGTTATGATAGATTGCTTAGAAATTTGTAATAGCATAGTTTTCATTTGTGATTGCGTTGTAAGGAAAAAGTTTTTCTGCATTTTATAAATAAATAAAACTTTGATTTTTATCTTATTCTATATCTCCCTACAATGGCATTTATGAAAAATTGATGTTTGTATATTTCTATCATTTGCAATATTGTCAGACCCCCAAGCCGGAACGGCGGAAACATTCGGGGGTGGTTGATGTCATGCGTAGTATCACAACAGTTGTATCATAGCAAGCATAGTAAACACAACGAAAATTTTAATACATATATGAAAAAGGTTTACATTGTCTTAATACAAAGTTTTGTTCTTATCAAAAGTAAAATGGAAAAACGTAACTCTAACGCGCCGACTTCTCCAAAATCCTGGAAGTACCTATCTACTAAATCCTTGAGAATACAAGTAGTTTTGAAAGAATATCATCATAAAGCTGGTGAGTTCATAAGCATTTAGTTTTGGTGGAAAATGTGTTTTTGGTCCTTTTGAAAAGTGTTCCTCAAGAAAATTCTATATTTTCTTATGAAAAGCATGTTTGAAAGCCCATTCCTTCCATGGCTTCCCGATTCATACGAGGTATGTACAATCCGAGGAGTCGTGGAGTGAATATGAATATTCGTTAGTTACATGTAAAAAACAAATACGTTTATGAAAAGTCAGGTTATCCCGTGAAAATCCTATATTTTCCCTAAAAGTTAATAGTTGGTTATCCGTTCAAAACTAAGGTGTACAAGTATCTACCATACTTATATTGATAAACACAGTTTCCTTTTAAAAACCCTGGTTACTCCCAGTAAGGTATATTAGCCTTATTACATAAATAAACTAATAATATGTGGTGAACTAGATCCTGGAGGTATTATTAATACCCTCTAGTAATCAAATCGGTTATTACTTTGAGGTTAGTTCACTTGATTCATTATTACAAAAGTAAATCTCAACTATTTAGGTTACGAGTTTTATAACCATACATTAACTTGATATAGCATGTATCGGGGCCAGTATCCTTTATGACTTTATCACTCGTAGACCTGCCGGTCCCACTATAGCTAGCAGCGAGGTGCGGGATAGTCAGTCTCGTATAGATCTATACACAACATTCACGCTCTCCCTACAAGAGATTTTGGTTACAAGTGCTAGTCTTGCACTCTGATTCTGTGGGAGTATTACCAAGGACGTGTCTCCAACTTAGACTAACAAATTTACAAGTAATAATATAGAAAATCCTTTTATGATTAACATGAATCCTTTATAAAATGATACATTTTACTACATGATTCATAAGTTCATTGCTCTAGTTTTGAAAACTGTTTCTACGAGTTAATTTCTTAATCGTTTGGTAAAACTATTTTCCGTCTTAAAAGCATATTGAAAATATAATTATCTTATACAAAATAATATACTTTGAGCACAAGTTTCCTTGTACTTTTGCTTATATTCCCCCTGAAAACATGAAAAACTCAGAAAAAGCGTAGGGGTATGAACACACCTCGGGCAATTTGAATGAAGGATCGATACGAAATGCAGGATGTTCAAGTGAAGCCTTGAACACAGTTTGATCCTAATTAACATGTAATGACACATAAAGGAGTCAAATTGTAACATACACGTTTTGAAATCGTGTTTCGTAATGAATAAAATTGTGAAATACTATGTGAAATTGTGTGTTGAGTTCTAACAGATGGTTTTTACTAGAAATGAAGTAAAACTATGTTTAGAATCACTCAGAAAATATTGGAAGTCTTATGAGATTCCAATTAAAAGCCAAATAGTGAAATTTAGCGAAAATATAAAATTTTAAATAAGTAAAATTTTATTATTTGATGTTGTAGAGAATCTCGTTTGAAACTTGTAGGCGAAAACCTCGTCGAAATCCGAGTTATAGCGAAGAAGTTATGACAAACCGAAGATCCGCGACAAAACCGGCATGGCACGGAATGACGTAAAAAGTGATTTTTTTATGAACTAATTTTTAGCCTTATTAATCTAAATGAAATTCGTAATATTCATTAAACCGAGAAATTCGATAAAAAGAACGCCAAAATCTGACTTCGTATGAGGAAGTTATGATTTTTCGAAGTTTCAACTTAGCAGTAGACAGCTAAAAACTCGAATTTTAGATCGAGCGATATTTGACCAATACATCCTAAACAAGAATCGAAGGTCTCGTCATTGGTAGTACAATGGTAAAAAGTCTGACGAAAACGAATGTCGGATGAAGAAGTTATAAATTTTTAACGGATTTTCCTATCCTGGTCTGTTAAAAATAATAATATTAATAATAAAGTCAAACTTAGCCAACGAATTCGAAACGAAAGTTGTAGAGCGTAATTTTATCTACGCGTGCATATAAAGAACATCAAAAACGGAGCTCGTATGCGAAAGTTATGGATTTTAGAAGTTCCGGGCTCAAAATTCAGGAAATTTCGCATCAATAGTGTCCGACCACGTCACCTCGCACGAAGCAGCAGCATCATCCGAGACGTGGCCCAATCCGGAGTCGGCACGTGTTGCTTAATGATTCGACCAAAGCGTAGACCTATGAACTTCCGACGCGTCTCACATGCGTGTCCGAAGCTCACTCCTCCACGCCTCCTCGCGTCCGAGCCTCGCAGCGGCCTCATGGCCTCGCCTCGCAGCGCCACCTGCTTCGCCCTACTGCTGCCGCATGCCCCTTCGTTGTTGACTCGCCCTCCCCCCCCCCCCCCTCGCGTGTCTCTCTCCCTCCCTGCCTCGTGTCCTCTCGCTGACTCCTCTTCTCGGACCGACCCTCGCATTCTCACCTATAAATAGGGAGGCTGCAAACCTCCTCTGGTAATTTTGAGAAATTGCCACTTTTTACCCCTTTTCCATACTATAGATATTTTGACCTTCCCCGAAGCCCGGGTACCAATTGTAGCACCCCGAAACACGTCCCGAAGCTCCTGAGAAGCCCAAAAATTTTACCTTTTCGGTTTTGAAGCCCTACCTTCGCAGAGCCCGGTTTTCAATTAAGTTCCCGGTTTTCAACATAGAAAGTCATATTTAAAGCCGAAGTGTTGTCCAAATTACTATTTTAACCCCTGGTTAACTTAAGGTGAGTTCAATATATAGGAACAATTGTATGTTATGTGTTATATGTGCTATGTGCTTTTCAGTGTTATTATTCTGAGTTATTTTACCGTGTTATTTTGTTCGCTATGTTTATAGCAAATGTAATACCTTTGACCATGTGATAAGTGAAAGGACTTAGATTCACATTGGTACTGGTACGTAGCCTCTGGCCATGTAGAGGATGTCTCCGTAAGAGAATGACTTCTATTCTATGGCATTGGCAAATAGTTAGACAAGA